GTCGTCTCAGTGGCCTCCGAGACAGTCGTTGGGCTGTGGTCAAAGTTATACTTGGATGCCAGTGCGCCTTCAGACCAACCAGATACCAGATACCAGAAAAAAATATTCCTTCGATCTTGTTTCAGACGCGGATGTGATCAACACACTTTGCCCGTGGAGGCAGATGCATTAGAAAACTGACTAATCCTAAATGTGCACCACAACCTCGCATCTGCTTTAACATTAAGATACGGTGAATCTGCTCTGGAATGTGATTGCAGACGTAAGAGGATCATGTCGACAAACCGGTCTTGCACTCCCAGCCGTCAGCATCTAGCGACAATAAGCCAATCATCAGAAGAGTGTTTACAGACCCTGCAGCTTACTAGGATGCATACATGGCCGCCGATATCCAAGTAACCGGAGCATTTTTCACGCTCCTGTGCGAAGACCAGGCAAATGTGCCTGTCTGAAACCAAAAGCACGCAGGTAGGCATTCCCGACGAAGACTGGAATGACCATGTCCGGCTTATCAGCCACCATCAGACAGCCATAGCCAACCCCAGCTAGTGCACCACCCGAGGTTCAAACCTGCGACCGATTGATTGGAGGCCCAACGCTCGTTGTCCTGCCGGTTTGGCTCGGTAACGTTGAAATTGCCGGATTGCCGCTCACCGATCTGCGATTTGAGCTCTGATCTGGGGATCGCAGTAAGGTGTCACACAGAAATGGAATGCACGACCAGAGCCAGCACTGGTTTGGCGTTTCAAATTCGGTCACCCCTTGTAGGCGTTTGTCTCCTGTCAGTCACAATCGTGTAAGCTAGGGCCCACCGGATCATCCGAGGTCCGTTTACGTCGTGAAACCTCAGTTTTGCAGAATGGCCGGTTGGAAGACTGATTTTCGTAGCTTGTGAATTCGAAGTCTGGAGCTTCCGCGCGTCGTTCTCCGGCAAACCTGCCTCCAGTTTTCTGCCCGATGGCGGCAAGTGAAACCAAACCGTCTGCCGGGGAATATTCGTAGTACCTGCGTGCCGGGCTGTCACAAAGGAACTCCTAGAAGTACACTGCCCCCTAAGGGGGCTGTGATTGCCTGTTCCTTAGACATGAAAATATGCCTGCGGCGCGCGTAACCTCGGAGGACTGCTTTACTGTCCGCGCAACTCGTAGACTCATCGGAAAATATACGGCCTCCATGACAGGCACCCCTTGCACGCTCCCGGAGTTTTTACACTTCCAGCTAAAACAGGCCACAAGGCGAATCCAATTATTGCAGTACTCGTTGTTTCAGCCTGGCGGATCAACGCCATGCACGCGTTTTAGCGTGCGACCGCGTGCAGCCAGCCCATATATACAAGGGTTCGTGTGTGTACATGAATGCCTCTTCGTGGGAACGGCTTATAAAAGGCAGCAGTTACAGCACAGGCGGACACTTACTTAACGTCACCAGCAGGCGTGCAGACAAAAGGGTATCAGAGGCCAGTTGACACAGCCTCTTATCTGCGAGCAATATAATCACACCCTTTTGTTGTCACTATCCATGACAATGTTCTGCTGTGTACTTATGCTTGTTACGGCTGCGACTATAACTGATCTAGCTGGCCTCTATGATCATCCGTAGGGCGCTTCTCCACGCCTGATGATCCGTGACCACAGACCTGAAGCGTTCAATCCATTCCCTTCGCCAGCGCCGGAGACCGAAAGTCAAAGGGTAATTTTTACGTCCTGACGAACTAAGTCGAGCCAGGTTTTGAGCTGACACCCCCTTCGAGGTTTCCAATTAAGTAACAGTGTTGGATCGAGGGCAGTACCAGTGAGGTTGACAATGAAGAACGTGTCCAACCCACCCCAGTCGTCTTTCTTGGATGACCTGGGATATCCTTGCGATGTTGTCGCAGCGAGTGCTCACAGTCTCATTTCAGACGAATTCGGTGTACTTCACAAGGAAAGCAAGAGTGGTCGAATACCCCTGGTTTCCTTTCATTTTTCACAGCCATAGAGAAGGACTGGCCAAAAGGATGGACGGTATACGCGAACTTGCTTGGCAATGGAAATATCGCCTCGGGTCCAGTGTGTGTGCTGTGTGGTATCCAAGGCCCAATATTCCTTGAAGCCGGATATGTGTACAGTTGGGGAGCTTGTCGTGTGTGTAGCACATGTCGGTGCGCAGTTTATCTGCACTCCACTGTGTTTACTTTCCAGTTGTCGTAAATTCGTCTTGTTCTTTAAATGCGCTGGGCGTGAAAAGAAAGTGCGGCGCATGTAGTGCAAATCAACTTCATCATATAATACTGGTAGACTGTGGTGTCACCTGGCTTCCTGCAGTGGTCGGCATATCTCACATAACAAAGGTCGTCCGTCGGAAGCTACGAAAGCCGTGGTTGCTGCACGTGACACTACTGTCAAAACACAACAGGCCAACCCTTGGTACCCTTTCTGTCTCCTGTCCATCGCCCTAACGACTTT